CGAGGCGGCGTCCACACAGGACAGGCTTGTCGCCAAGCTTCCGCAGATTTGTATGAAGGTACTGGAAGCACCACGGCTGCCTATGAAGGTGCTGAAAGTGCCACGCCTGCCACACGGCTCGAGCCTGAGGACCTCCCTATAGGTGTCACAGAAGCCATCCACACAGGACAGGCTCGTCGCAAGCTTCCGCAGACCTCTATGAAGGTACTGAAAGTGACACGCCTGCCACACGGCTCGAGCCTGAGGAGCTCCCCAGGTGTCACAGAAGCCGTCTTTCCCACATTGTGTAGTGTGTTGTGCGTTGAAGCGTTGATGTGTTGATGCGTTGATGATGATGATGTTGATGAGGATGATGAAGATGTAGTCTTTCCCACATTGTGTAGTGTGTTGATGTGTTGATGATGATGCTGATTGATGATGATGATGATGATGGCGATGATGATGACGTTGATGAGGATGATGAAGATGATGTTTGATGAAGAAGAAGATGATGATGATGAGGAGGAGGAGGAGGACGGGGGGTAGAAGGACGGAGGACGCAGCAAGAACAACAAAAACGTCCCCGCCCGGCGTACCGGGGCGTCAGGCATTGGTTTACTCACATTACATAGTGGCCCTGCACTCCTTAGCGCGCTCTCTCTGCCAACTCTGCCAACGTTGAGGTTTCCGCCTTGTCGTAGCTGAACACTCCGGCACCCTGCGACATGGCCTGGCAGCAGCGTGTCCTTTTTTGGCAAGGCAGGCCTGCTTGAGGTAGAAGCGCGTATGGCACGAACGCCCGAGCTGGCAAAACACAAATGTCATCAACTCTAGTGAAGTGCAGGGACGCACGCCCTAGGGAGAGCCCAACAACTCATCTGGCATTTCGGCGCCGCGTGCGCCGGCGAGGCGAGGTCTTCATGATGATGTCAACCGCCAAGCCCAATCACTCTTGTCTGCGCTCTTCAAAGTACGTGGTTTTCGTCGCACTAGTACCCGGACTGACCGCAGTGAAGGGGCCAAACGCACCTCCAAAGTCTGTTTCGTACGCCGCTGGTGGGGTCACGCGTCTGTCTCACTCACATTCCTCTTGTGGCCTTCCTGCCCTGTGCCTTCTTGCGCTCTACCCATCGTCCTCGGCAAGAATTCTCTGCAACTCTTGAAAATTCGGGCGCCTGTCCAACTTCTCTTTTTAGTTCCCTTAGCAAGACTTCCCGCGTGGGCTCTCCTCTTGCTTTCTTGTCGGTTTGAACCCTCGCCCATCTTCCTCAGCAAAAACACGCGCGCAAAATCTGCTGCACGCTTGCATACGTTGACCCTTCGACCAACCCTAGAAACGTTGAAAATTCCTTCAAAACACGGGGGTTGCTGAACCATCGTTTTGCTTACACTACGTTCACTTTTCATTCAAAGGCAAGCGCGCCAATCACTCTGAACAAGCTGGTATGAACCCAAGGCGCCTTCCTGCTTCAGTTATGCGTGGAGTTGAGGAAACCTGAAAGCTGGCGGCCGTTTTTCATCTTCAGGCACCATGTTTCTCCAAACCCAACGCGCAGTCCTACGCCTGGGTCCAAACGTAAAACATTGCCTCGAATATGGCAGCAATTGGAAGATGGTCGCTGGGGTTCTCAGAGTTCGGCAGGCCGCTTGCAGCGGACGTTTCATCCGCCTCAAAACGGCAAGCGTAGGCTCGACCGATCCACCCACACCGTGGCTTTCAACCAGTCCTAATGAACCAGCACGTTTTCCTATTTACATCCCGGGTGTATTGTCGCCGCTGCTGAAAACTCAACTGCAACACCAACATTGGACAAACAATTTGACGTCCAGGCGCCACCCATCCCCTGTCTTGGGACGGAGGCTGACCGGAAATGGCAAATGTGTTAGCTAAACTCAAGCTGCTGAACAGAATGCGAAGCGCATGCAATGCGACTAGTTTTGTCGTGGCTGTGTTGCACTTGAGTCAGTACCACAGCCCAGAGGTCTGACAGGGCTTCGCCCGTCATTCCCCCCTTAGGAGTTGCAAGTTGCGACCCCAGGACCCTGTACTGATCTTGAGGTCACTTCGAATGAATTCCGGAAGGAGCTTCCGGCAACCGCTCACTCAGGGCTTTAGGGCCAACGCTGCCAGTCTCCAGCTTTCCAGTTTGGCTGCCAGTTCTGCTGGTGCCACTGCTGGTTCCACTCTTGACCGTATCCGGCGGATCGCCAGTTTCTCCACTGCTCCTCAGTCCAGCTTGATCCCTGCCATTGCTGGTGGCTGTTGGAGCTTGGCTGATTCCATAGCCATTCATCTTGGTTCTGAGGGTGGCTTGGATCATCAGCTGAAGCAGCCGCTGCACTTCCCTGGGGGTTCGTCCCCAAATCAGCGGTGCGCTGGGCTTTTCTCTGTGCCCTCTCGGCTTGATAGCCGGGTTCCAAAGTGGGGGGTCTTGGATGATCACAAGACCTCGGCATGTCAGCTGGCGTGCAACCTTCCATTCGTGCGAGTTGCTGGTGATGCCTGGCTGCTCTTTGCCGCGACTTCTGTCGAAGCCTCGCTTCTTCTGGTGAGAAACCCATCCGGATGTCGGCTGCGAACTTGCCCGGCTTGGTGGGTGGTGGAGCTTCATCCGCTCGCAGCCGCAGGGACTTCAGGTACTCGGTGCATCGCTGCCAGGATGAAACCCTCATCTTTGCCTTGATCTCTGCGGGCGCCTTCAGGTATGCTTCCATGCGATCACCAATCTCTTTCAGGAGATCCATATCCTGTTGAAGCTCCTCTGGAGTTCGATCATCTTCCTGATCTCCCCAGTCGACTTCCTCTGCGGAGAAGAAAGGTGTCTCGACCGGAGCGGTCGAGTTTGATCTGGCTGGACCAGCCGGCGGTGGGGGTTCCTCCGTCATGGGTTGGTCCTTCGTCTCCTCAACCTTTGGCGCTTTGGCAGGGCTTTCCCCGCTGTCCCTTGAAGGCTGCTCCGTCATGGGGACATCTTCATCCTTAGTGTCTTTGTTGACCGCTCTTTTGGGCCTTGCATAGCTCCTTGGATCTTTTCCCCTGGATGTCATAGCTCCCAAAGCGTGTGGGAAGACCATCTCGGCGAGGTTGATCCTTGGGGATCCACCGCTCAAGCAGTCTTCCCTGACTGCTGCAGGCAACGGAGTCTCGACTTCTGGGATGGGTGCTAGGGTCTTCCTCTGCTGCCTCAGCTTCTGGTTGTTGTATCAGCTTCTGGTTGTTGTAGTGGAAAAGGAAGCTTCTTACTGCATCCAGTGCTTTCTGGTTGAGGGCATCATTTGCTTCCTTCTGATCCCCTTGAAGACCGTCCGCGGTGTTCTCCTCATCCCAGTTCTGACTGACCTCTGGCCAATCACAGCTGGTCGGATCGACCACATCGTGCCAGTCATCTTCGGAGTCCGGATCTACGTTGACCACCACATAGTCCTGGGAGGGGTCTTCCACCCTGCTCGCATGGTCACTGGGCTCTGGTGTTCCCAACCACAGTGCAGCTGGGCTGGCCCCTTTCTGAGCTCCTTGGTCCACCTCCATGCAGGCCGCATCGGGCCGGATATCTTGCTTGTTCTGAATTCCTTCCCCTTGGTAAGTTTGGGGATTTCTCTCAAACATCCCGGAAGGTCGAAATGGCTCTTCCCCCTCTCCGGCATTGGGGGCCCGTAGGTCCTCTTGTGTTCCTTTGGCTTGGTATGCTTGAGCGGACCGCTCAAAATGCCTGGGGGTTCCTCCTACGCTCTCCTCGGGTGTTCCTTGCACGCCTGATGATGCTGATCCCTTTGCTTTTAGTGGAACAAAGCTCGCCGGCTGGGGTGGCGGCGGTGCTTTCCGACCGGCTGCGGTCCCTCTCTCCTCCTGCTTTGGTGGGACGAAGTCCCTGGGCGGAGGAGGTGGTGGTTTCCTGACCAGCTGTCCCTCCTCCCTCCTGCTTTGGTGGTAGGAAGTCACTGGGCGGAGGAGGTGGTGGTTTCCTCAGACCAGCTTTGGGTGGTGTTTTAGCTTTGGGCAACCTCTCATCTCGTGGAGGTGGCATGTAGCCTGGAGGTTTTGGCGGCGCCCCTTGGATGCTGGCTTAGGCTGGGTCTGCTGAGGCTCGGCCTGCGGACCTGGTGGTGGAGTGGTGGACCTCGACTCAAAGAAGTCTCGAGCTTCCCGAAAATAAATGGGGAAGGCTCCTTCCTAGCCTGTTGTGCGTAGCATCCTCGAGCCTGCCCTTCATCCTCATTATTGCGAGGGTCATAGGCTCTGGTTGCCCTTGGCCTGGCTGGGGCTGGTGTTGCCCGGGCTGCCGCTGCCGCTTTCGCCCTGGCTCTGGCGAGCTCTGCTGCTCTCTCTGCCTGCCACTGAAGGAACTGTTCGGCCATCAATGGGTCACTAAGGATATCCCTAGCGGTTGACATCCTCTTAAACTCTTCGGATTTCTCCTCCTGCTCCTCTGTTGGCAAGTGGCTGAGCTTGTCTGGATGGTACGATCTTGCTTTCATTCGAAACGCCTTGAGCACCTCGGGCGTGCTGGCCCCTCGCCTGACTCCGAGGAGTCGACGCAGGTCTAGATCCGGGTTGTGCCTGAAGAAGAGGTGTGACTCCTCCAGCTTGCTAACCGGGGCTGCTTCCATGGTGCAGCCTCCAGCACGTTCGCAGAAGGACACCCGTCGGTCTGGGGCCCAAGACAAAGATCTCGAGCCTAGAGTCCTACGATTGAGATCGGACCGATCTTGGTGGTTTCCAACCGGAGGGCGCTCGGCGGCTTGAGCTTTCTGACTAGGCAAGGTAATGACGTTGCTACCTATCATGCCTTGGGAGATGCCTATTTGGGCTGTGTGGTCTTCATATAAGTATGCATGAACGGCATCAGAGGTCCAACCCCCGTATCTCTTCAACCTCTCAAGATCCCCGGTAGATGCGAAGAAAGCCGTGGCCCCCCCTTTGCGGAGTGAATGAGACCCTGCAAGTTCCCCGGGTATCCCGCAGCCAGCGCTGCCACCTTAATCAGATGGGCTATCCCCTCGCGGTCAAGACCGGATCGGTCAGCGTACCGAAACAGTGGCTTTTCAAGCTCCGCACCTCTCCAACGATGAGGTTGTAGTGCTTGCAGTGTGGCCAAAGCCTCAACCGGGCACAGGTCTCCACCGGAACGGTGGTGTGAACGAGCTTGCCCACGACCGAACTGGTCTGTCTTGGAGGACCTGACTTGGATCACTACCTCATCTGCTACTGTCCCCAAACAGGCTTGACCCCCCTTGTAGAAGGCAACATCGGCTGGGCGGATCGCCCGATCTAGCGGGTCTGATCCATCCCCATGCGGCAAGGGTTCACTAGCTCTCAGCATGAAAAACCACCCAGTCAAAAGGGCCCCTCTAACCATGGCTTGGTCTGGCACAGTTAGACCCATTCGTTGGATGTGCTGGCTCAACCACCTGAGCATGGTTGGGGTAACTGGGAGCTTTCTGGTTGGGGCCCCTTCCCACCTCTGCAGTCCGGCTACGGCAGACCACAGCCGGGGTTTCCCTGAGAGTGGGTCGGGGTAGCCGGCCGTGATGTGGGCATAACGGATGGCTGAAAGCCTTTGTCGGATGCCTCCTATGGAGCGTCCCATGATTTGGTGGAGGAAAACAACGAACCTAATCAGCCTCTGTTCATCTTCATACCGAGCGGATCGCGCCTCTCCCGTGAGGAACAACGGTGACGTCATTGAACCCGGGCCACGCCGGTCGGAACGACCCATGGTGTTTCTGTGCTGCGGTTGCCCAAATGACGAATTCCCCAGGAGCCCCAACCCAACCGAATACCATGACAAGACCGATAATGATCAAGCCCATCAATCGTGCGCAGA